CCACTTAATACGATTTAGCATTAAATGTTTGTATGCTTTTTGCTGTTTCGGCCCTAAAATAACTTGCATATCCGTTCGTAGCAGAAAAATTGCACGTTTTTACATTTCATTAATTGCTTGATTTCCAAACATACCGCCTTCAACAATCACAAGATTGATATTGTTATGGAGTAGAATAAGACCCGTCATATGCAACTGCTTTGCGTTCATTTCCACTTTGAATCGCTTTGCCGGATGAGCCAACGATTTCACCCTAAACAACAGTATAATCGTTACTACAGTGCAGCAATGAGTTACCAACGCATTCAAATTCCCCCCTTTTCTACTTTTACGAAGTATCGCAACTATCGAAATGAGGGAAAATGCAATGATCAAAGTTAATGGCGCGAAAAATCTACTTCAAAATCACTAACATTTGAATGCTAATAATTGAAAAACTGCTAAATAAATATATACATAATATGCATTTTTCTACTATACCCTCATTCGCACATATGCTCTCAAACAGACCTCTGCACACATACGTGTGACACACACACACACACACACATCCATACATATACAATACAAATACACAGACCTGCCTAGAGTAGCTTGCATAAATGTTTGGATTTCATGCTTCGATACAAGCTCATACACATATTTGAAACAAATCATACACGTGTCTGGAAAAGCTCACTCACGTGTCTGGAACAGATCACACACATGCTTGGAAGAGCTAACATACATTTGAGGAAAAGCTCACATACAAACGCACACACAAACACACACCCATACACGCACATGGAAGAGCTCAGACAGACCTGCTTAAACCCAACCATAGAAACAGCTCAAGTCTGTTTCATCATATACGCAAAAGATTGCCACTTTTCTAGCAGCATATACATGCAGTGATAAATAAAAATCAAATAAAAAACATGCACGCACAGACAGTGAAGTAAAACCTAAAATTTTTATTAGTTTTTAACCTAAAATTTTTATCAAATTTTTACAATCACTTTTTATTACGCCAGCAAAACACCCCTCGATCATTTCGACCAAAATTTTTTCGATAAAAAACTAACTTATATAAAGCTGCATGCACAGCCAGTGATGTGTCCTCTTTGATTTTTCGAATTTTTTTCTCCGATCGCTGTTCTTTTGTTAATTTTCGTTGCTGATTTGCCGTTTCATGTTTACGCTGCCTTTCAGCAATCTGCTTGCGTACGTGTGCTTCAACTTTTGTTGGATCCTGAATAGCATCCGAGCCCAGCACTCGCATCAAATTTGATAACTTTACTTTCGGTTCCGGTGCCTTGCACAAGCCCAATCTGCAAAATTCAGTACAATGTTCCATATTTGAATATGATATCACAGTGTTTGAAATATTTGCCTGTTGCTTCTGATGCTCGTAACGTCCCCTGAGGGGGTCACCAGCCAAACAGTTTTTTCGAGCGGAGTAGTTAGCAAGCTTTACTCGTTTCAAGATGTCTTTAGTGTGAGCCGAATACCAGCATATCGTCTAGAACTCTGTCATTCCTGAACCGTGATGAGGTATTTTATCATCTGGGAGATACCAGAAGATTAAAAAAAAAATTGACTGATCGGGCAATTTTAAAAATTTAGCATACAGGCGAAGTTACCAGTGAAAAAAAGAAAATCAGTTGGATGCCCATAAGCAGTACTTTGGATATGGCAAATTCGGCCTCTGTAGAAAAGATCCGACTCCCTGACGGAGAACAGAAGCATAACGATGATGCAGCAACTACTCAAAGTATCAATGAAACTGACTTACCTTATTTTTTCCGTCTGCTCTTTTTGGGCTTCTTTCCTGTTTTGTCGCCGAATCTTCTTTCGCTCTCGACTTGTCAAATATACCTTAAATAAAAACTCCCAACTTGTAAAAAATTTTGCATAGTAACGTAAGATAGCTTCCCCTTATGCTCCACTTGATCGCTATGTGGACTAGTGTGGAAAAAAAATGCACTATATCGAATTGCCTACATTCGCTTCCTTAATTCCCACACAGCTCCAATCAATCATTTCTCTACAACA